TTTAGAGTTATTGCCCTTGAATTAGTAAAAATTTCCAATTTTCAACTTGTTTCGCACGTAACTAAAAAGCATTTGACCTAGAGTCATGAAACCTTACAGGAATGTTGCTTAGCATGTGTAGTTGTGCACCTGGGTATTTTCGTGTGAATATTTTTCGTATTTTAGAGTGATTGCCCTTGACTTAGTAAAAAATTACAATTTTCAACTTGTGTTGCACGTAACTCAAAAAGTATTTGACCTGTAGGCCTGAAAGTTTACAAGAATGTTGGTCAGTTTGTGTACTTATGCGCCTTGGGATTTATTCAGTATTTTAAGTATTTGCCCTTCACTAAGTAAAAAAGTTTTAGTTGTCAACTTTGGCACATGTAGCCAAAAAGAAAATTGGCCTAGAGACACAAGATTGACAAATCGGTGGAGTGTGGTAGCACCCGTCTCCTATGGACACATTTCTAGTTGAAAAATGTATTCTTTATATGTCTTCATTTTAAGGAAGATAGTTTTTGTTGAAAAGTCTTTGCACTTAGTTTGGACCTACCCTTGTACATTTGATTCTGACCAATTGAATATCAAATTGACTAGCAAAAGAAATACAATGAATATCTATTTCAATTGTTAATGCTAACAGTTCAAACGATGTAGTAGCTATACAACTATAACAAAACTGACAGATTTATTGCGGTCCCGGTAGAATTGTTCATCTTATATAAAATGTTATTTGTACATTATTCTACTAGCATATACTTAGCAAAAAGTGGAACATGCAGTTAAACAAAAATATCGAAAGAAGATCTAAACTATTTTCATTTTTATTCTACAAGTATCCAATGTGAATTTGTGTAGACAAATTTATCGCTCTATCTTGACGGAAAACTAAAGGTATTTTAGATTTAATTAAGAAGAGATCGTAGAGCAAAATCACAAATTTATACTGTGTATGATCTCCTTGAGAATGGGTTTTTTTCGAGTTTAAATGTTGAATTCTGCTTAAGCCTTGAATGTAACTTGCACTTTCCAGTACCGTCCATGAACAGACTCAATCAAACCGAGTCTGCAACATTTTCAATTTTGTCGTGTTAGGCTTTCTTTAGGGAGTCTGATTTTCTCTTTCTTTTATTTTTGCGCATGGAACTGACAAATTTTTTGATATGTTGAATGTTTCTATTTGGTATTCGATTGATGTTCAATGATGAAATGGGGCGCTAGCCCAAATTGTCCAACTATTGTTTATTCAGATCTAGAATTTTGGCGGGTCAATCATTCAAGAATGCAATATTATCCCTCTTGAGATATTTTTACTATATCTCTTGCTGTATAGCTTGTATAATTATTCAGTTGAAACAGAGTGATATTGGGATTCTTTTAATACAATGGGATAACGTGCCTTGCGAAATATCATCTGTGTATCGTTGGACAATAAAATTACAAAAGGTCATGAATAGGTGTGCGATTACCATGCGCAATACCTGCCAACACAAAAGCGGACTTTCCGCCCTCTGAATAATCTCTTTCAAATACAAGAGAGTTGGCATATTGTACATTTCTTTTACAGTCGGTGGATGAACACGTGTTGCCTTATTCAGCGATGGTGTGTACTTACCCAATATTATAAACAAATTAAATAAATCATATTGAAAAGTTTGATTATATAAATAATATACTGGTCTGTGCATTCACTAGAAATTCGAGTTTTACGTGTTTTTTTTGTGTTTAATTAATTCGTATAATGTATTCATAAGTTGTTTTACACATAATCGTTCTGCTGAAGCAATGTAGAGCGATACACATTGTTTTATTTTTCATTACATTAAAACAATATGTAAATATGTATAGAAATCTGCACAAATCTATTAAACTGTACCTACTCCCAAGATCTTCAACAATATATTGCAGTAAATATGGATATCCGTTAACTATCGTCTGTTACTTTGAAAGATGCAACATATGAACAAAATAAGTTGTCTTTCCTTTATCTTTCATTATTTCAGATAAGCTCTTTAGCACAATAAGATATGTACATTCTTCAAATATATGATGTGAACATTATTATTACGAAACATAAAGAAATAGGACTATTAACTCTCAAATACAAAATGTTATAATGTATTAAATAGAACGCAAAACGTATTATTACGCATTAATCAGTAAAAAACTGAATGATTCGATGATTAAGTTCTGAATTAAACACTTATGCGTATATGTTAACCGTTCCACATTAAAAAAAATGACCTTTTCCTGATCAGTTACCTGAGCAGTCGAGTAATTTATAGTGTTACAATCACTGTTTTATTACAACCGTTAGCAATAAAGTTTGATGAAATTAATATATTTTTATTGACATTATCAATAAGATAAATACTTCATTCTTTGTTGTTACAGTACCATTAATAATAAATAATAAAGATTTTATAAATAAATACGACACAATGTTGACCCTTCAAAAGATAAAGAAACTGGCTTCAGCATCACACAGACAGGAATGAGATCAAACTATTTCTCTCAATTCTACACCTGTCACTTTTAAAGTTAGTGAATACTGGTGTTTTTGTAGATGATTATGGTATTTGCTGATACTCTCCGCATACAGTATTGCTTGTTGTAACAGTATACCTACAGTGTTTATTGGATTTAATCAGATACAGGTACTGTACCTCGTGAAAACTAGTATTTAAAGTAACTATGACACAATCTTACATAAACAGGTATTTTTATGAACAAATTCGTCTTTAATTTAAAACTGTATATATGTGATCCTTTAAGGTCATTTTAGGTGATTCGTCATAAACATGCATGTAGGAATCTATGTAAAGTCATTGATATATTTCTTACGACTAAATTATATTTGAAGGCAATAGTGGTGTTTTTGCTGTTGACGTTATTCATATCATCACATTTTTACATTTTGGACATTATATACACGAGGAACTTACTTAGATTAAAATGTCAACGTAATACTAATTAAATGACCTTGTGACGACAAAAGTGAAAGTGAGATACTGGAAACAGCTTACGTTATGTTGTAAATCTTAGCGATTACAAAGATATTTATGGATCCTATAGCTTAATCATTGGCTCATTAGTATAAGTATCTTCATAATCTCAGAGTGTATGCATTATTAACGCGTTTTGTGTATCACTATATATAACTATTACGCGCTTCCTTTGTTTATTATCTTGTAAGGAGTCTGTCATACATTCTATAGTCATGTTTAAACATTTAAAATTCTTCTGCGGTAATGTGTCCGATCATTATGAACTATTTATGACGAACACTGTGATACAGGGAAAAAGTGAAATGTTTGGAAAAATTACAAACTTAAGGTATATCAAATAAACTGAGTGGGGACACAAAACAAAAGAACAAAGTAAGTTAAAGGAAAAAGTACTGAAGTTAGAGTTATAACACTTATGCCCAACATTTTCTTAATGCCACCCATTATTAGTTTTTATTTTCTTAAAAATATGTTCATTTGCTTTCCAATTTATTGAGTGTACAATCAAATTGTAAGTAAAAATGAAAAAGAAGATATAATAATGGTTTTTGCTTTTAACCACTATGTTTATTTTCTTTTACTTTCCTTAATTATTTTAAAGTAATCGTCCTAACTAACATCTGTCTGCAGGTTTAACCTCTTCTGTTTATGCACATAAAAAGCATGAAATATAACACTTACAGTAAAGTCTTAATGTTTTTGTAATAATACAAGTTACACAAGCTTAATCTAAAAATCTTTATTAATAAGCTTTTATGTCAAGACATATAAATAGTTTAATCGAGAATATGCAGAAGTGGGAGTCGCTAAGTATTTGAAATTTTACATTATTTATTCATCCTCTTTCGCATAGCGGGGAGGGGATTATAGGAAGGGGCTCCGTCTGTCAGTTCGTCCGCCTGTAACACTTTCGTTTTCGCTCCATTACTTAAACCGCTGAAACTGTTTTTTGAAAAAGCTTGGCACAAGTGATCACGATATGCAGAGCGCAATAATTTGGCTGTTACCCTTACGTTCAAGGTCGTATTCAAAGGTCAAATGTTAAAAATGCTACATTATCTGTCCGCTGTGTAACTTTTAAATCGCTGATTTTTTAAAAATTACTTGGCACAAGTCACCACAATTATGAGACGATGTACATAGCGCAATAATTGGAGTGCTACCTCAAAGGTCAAGGTCACACTTAAAGGTCAGGTGTTAAAAGTGTACATTTCGTGTCCGCTCCATAACTTTAAAACCGCTAACAATTGTTTGAAATATCTTGGCACAAGTGATGACCATAATGAGACGGCGTGCAGAGCGCAATAATTGGGTTGCTATTCCTAATTTCAAGATAACACCTAAACGTCATTGTTAAATGATCACAATTACGCCATCATTTGCAAAGCACAACAATCAAGTCACTGCCGTTAAGGTCAATGTTACACTCAAAGGTAAAATGTTAAAACATATTATTTTTCATGTCTTCTCTTTAACTTATTGTCAATTCAGTGGTTTTAAATTTTAACCCCTTCCACAAAGTGTGTGTGTGTGTGTGTGCGTGTGCGTGCGTGTGCGCGCGCGTGTGTGTGTGTGTGTGGGGGGGGGGGTTAGGAATTGCCTCCGTTCTAAGTTAACTGAACTTGAATTAAATTTTTCATTATTTTAAGGGCACATTATTTACTATCAAGGGTATGCCTATTTTTCTGCATTTTATGTATCTGTTTGCCATTTGAGTATTTGTGCAATTTTTTTCTTAGGAATTATAAAATTGTATAATTTTTCTTATGGTTATTGGTGACAAAATTTATACAACCATAGCTATCCAAGGTTTTTCTTCGATAATTACAATTTGCTAGATGACTATTTTTGGATGATATAAACCGTAATTAATCATAAATTACACAACACTTCCTTCAAGCTGCAAATCTAAATGCCGATTAAAAGAGTGTAATGTCTACGTGTGTCCATTTAAAACTATACAGGTTTCCCTTTTTAGGTACTCTATTTAGTAAAACGCATATTTCGAAGATGCAGGATTGGAAATTCCATTTTAGTATCTTAGCTCTTTGTTTCATTCAGGGTAAGTACAACAACAAGTCAATCATTGACTTTATATACGTTTAGTACTCGAAATATGTTTTTGTTTGCACCCGTTTTCTTTCGAGATGCGTCTGATTTATCTAATGAGCTAATTTCTAAGAAACAATAGTTTGCATCGTTATTTGTTGCCATTTAAAAATCCTTTGTTTTGCATTAAAAACTACTGTCGTGAAACGCTTTAAGGTTTGCTTTATACTCAAGTCGAAATACTTATTCTTCTTCTGTCATTTAACTTCAGATTCCTCCGTTGTAAAAATAATAAAACATTTTTAGTATACTTCAGTCTTCCAAATATATGAAATAACATAAGATTTTTTTTTAGAGATTATACAGACAAAATGTAAGGATTGGGTTTTTAAACTGTCTTATAAATATTCGGTGGACGTTAAGTTATTCAGACGAATAAAAAGAATAAAATATTATGCAGACGTTTACTTAACTGACATATAATTATCTTTTTTTTATAAAAAGGTATATCATGTCAAAGCATAGTACTAACTCCGACCAAAGCTTACGCCGATATAAACGAGACATTCACGTTAACATGCACCTATATTGGTTACAACAATGTCGCAGGGACGAAGTGGAATGTAAATAACCAGTATACACCAACAACAATAAGACATCAAGATAATACTTGTAGTGGTAATGGAATCCTCGCTGATGACAACATTTACAGAGTTGGTTGTCCAACTGATACATCTTTCACCGTAACTATATTACGTGTACAACAAGAAGATGTTAATATCCAATGGCAATGTTTCGATATCCACAGAAAAAGTAATACTGTTGAAATATTAGTAAAAAGTAAGTTATAGTCGTTTTTGTTTTAAATAATAAAATGTAATTATGCACCAACTATTACTATACATGCTATAGGTGTCAATATGACACTAACGTCTATGGCACTATTTGAAATGTTTGTGGTTCATTTACATTTTTGAAATATTACTTGAACGGCTTAAATACAACAAAATTAAGTGGGCAGGCTGTAACATACCTGGGACAGTTAACTTTAACATTTATATTGAGTAAAAAGCCAGTATATTTGAGTTGTAACTTTTACATTTTACTTTTAGTCAAGCCCATGGGGTATTATTGTTTTATTCTCGTCTTCTGTCCTGCTTCATATAGTCTTTATAGATTATTTTCTAGTTGTTCATCCTAAAATAAACCGAATTATTCGGTTATGGTCATTTGTTTTCAATTAGTATTAATATCTACATGAGCATTTCAGTTGTTTTAGTTATTTTGTTTCTGTAACTATGACAATCTAAAAAAAAAAGGTTGATGAAGATTCATTCTAATAAAAACCTCTCGTCATATTATATAGTATATTTTGGCAATGAGTGAAAGTTTTTGCACCTACTACAGGTATTACCATCCACGTAGTACTTTTGTGGTTGATAATTCCCTTGAGATGCGCATTGTGTTCCCTCAAAAGTATGTCTTGTAAATTGTTATATCTTGTTTGATATGGAACTGCCTGCATAGCTTAAAAGAAGGAGCGTCGGATTCGTAATCCTGGGTTGCCGGTTTGATCCTCGAGTGAGCGAAATTTCTAAGTGACATCTGATCACGGACATTAAATCCAGTGGTTGAATACATTTGCGGAGAAATTGGTAATTAGTGGTAGGTAATGCAGGAAAGCCGCTTATGTTGACATTCTTAAATGTTCTTAGTTACCCATGACTTGAACTGTCAGTTATTTAACTGTCTAATGGTACGCCTCTCATTATCATCTTCCTTGGTTCGACTTTGCACAATTTAAAGTTTGTTCGGTTCTATACTGGGTAAACCAGTCCGATTGTTCTGTAATGCTTGGTTATGTCTGGGGCTCTTCGAACGTTGTTCTTGCCAAAATTGATTTTTATTCTCATATTTTATTATGTATTGCAGTAATTGTAAAAAGAGACGTTTGTTAGCATGTCACGAGGATTTAACTTCGCAAATTCAATTTTGGTTTAAGACTAAACGATTCTCGGCTTTTTGAATTCACGATTTCAAATTTACGAATTCACAAATTTTAACTTCAAGAATTCATTATTTCATATTCATGCATTCACGGTTTCAACGTCACAAATTCAATTTCATGAATTCATGCTTTGAACTTCACGATTACTTCTTCATGGCGATTATTACTTTATGAATTCAACTTCATGATATCTTATGTTAAAATCGTGAGTTCACGAAGCATTCGTGGAGATACACCAAAGAATTTCAACGGTTGAATGTCATCACCGATCTTTCGTAGAAATATTTAATGTTACGCTATCTTACAAGACTGTAATAAGTAACAAGAGCTATCAGAAGGTCAGAGCGCTACTTGGTAGTAAATCAATACCTAGTAAATGAGGGATAAACAAAAAATGTTTTATGTAAAAGGCATGGCAGGGTTTTGGATATGGATCAAAGAATTGTAAGTTTGTCAGGGGCATTCTAAGGGTCCTAATTCAGTCATATTATATGTCAGAGCTGTTGGCCTTGAAAAGTGACCTTAAGTTATGGTCGGAATAAAATACAAATATTAAGTTTCATATGGATAATTTCAGTAGTTTTGAAAAATGTTGTTGCAAGCAAAAACTTAAATCGAGGTTTTCTGTGTTCACAACGGGTCATTATTCGGCCAATATACATAGTTAGGGGCCTTAGAAGGCAATTACAAATTACAATCTCGAAGATATTTATTAAGCCAGAAATGAAAATTCCCAGCGCTTCTAGATAACGATTTTGCATATACAACTGAAACCAGTAACTGTTTCAGTTCACAAAGGGCCATTTTTCTATCAAATACCATGCAAGTTTTATGAGTTTTGAACAGCTTCAACCTGTTAAAATTTCGAATGTTAGTGTGAATTTCTAGGTAAATATCTTCAGCAGTTGATTAGATACGATATTACACAAGTAGTTGATGTTGCACAAGAAGTTACACGTACAACTTTAATCAAGTTGTTACATCAGCGCTGACACATTAGTGAGTTGAATATCCCAACTTATCTTTGTAACTGGAGCTGAAATATGTATGCCCTGCCATAATTATCTTGAATTAAATAAAAGCGTATTCCATCCATTTAAAATGGTGAAGCAACATTTTTCACAAGTTACTAAACATAGGCTTAAAGATTTTTTTAGAACAAAATTGTGAAACTAATTAATAAGTTTATGTCGAAAATAAGGTGGGCAATTGATAACATATGTGCGCATTTGCAATCGAATTTGCATATGCACATGGTTTTGGGCTAAACAGTGGTTTGTAGAGCTCAAATGTGATTGAATGTAACAATTTTGTAACGTCAATGTCTCGATTCAAAAATAGTCATTTTTCCTATCTTACTTAAAACGAATCTTGTACCCGCAAATCGTAATGGCAACTGCATGCAATCTCGGTACCAATACTGTTTTCCTAATGACATAATGTTGCGCTAATTTTGAAGTGCAGGTACTGACGATATTTTTAACATGATACAATATTACAGAGACTGTATCTACAGAAACTATAAATGATGGACTTCGACAAATGGTAATTTATCATTACAACATAACATTCATATAATTACCGATCTAGAAATATATTTACATATAATGATACTACGGAGCAATGAAGACTGACTATAACTCTGAGGCACATTATAGCTAAATCATATAGCTAACAAGGTCTCTATAGATCACTGAATGAAATCCGTACATAAGTTATAAAGAGATGACATTTCAAGCAATATACAAGTATTTGACCCTAACAGCAAAGGTCGTTTCAATGTCATTTATTTTTTTCCAAAATGCCGGTTCCTTTAAAAAATTCATATCTTAAAGTATGATTCAAGTCCTTAAACGTTAATAATTAATGTAGCTATGTAGGAGCACATTTGTCTTGGAGCACATTTGTCTTACGTTAACCGATGCGAACCTCATTTGTCCCACATGAGACAAATGGAACCTCAAATGCCCCTCCCCCCCCCCAATTAAAAACATCATTTGTGTGACAAATGTACTCCGATCAAGTTTTTTAAGGGACAATAAAGCACATTTCTTTCATTTTTAAGGGACAAGAAAACACATATAAATTTGTCTTGTGTCCTTTTTTATGAATAATTTGCCACATATTTTCCCAGGGCAGAAATGTTTTTTTTTTAGAATCGAATCGATGTTCGACGTTTACCTCAGGTCAAGGGGTTGCTAATGCCTTCTTATGAAATCTTAAACAAAAAATCTACAGTGGAACTATTAATTCAAATATCTCTAATTCAAGAAATTTGATTGGCTGAACCTGAAGGTGTACACTGAAACATACGGAATTCCGTTTGCGATGGTACAATGGTGAAAGCGCGATGGCACGATGATACGATGATGTAAACGCGATGGTCCGATAGTGAAAACACTATGGTACAAACGTGAAACAACGATTGTTCGATGTGCAACAACGATGGTACGATGATGAAACTGCGATGGCATGATGATAAAAACGCATTATTTTTTCACTATCGTGCCATCGTATCATGGTGATTTCAACATCGTGCCATGGTTGTTTTGTCATCGTGTTTTCATCATCGTACCATCGTGTTTTTTACCATTGTACTATCGTGCATAGCAGTTCAGGGAAACAAATAATGTTACTTTTATCCAAACATCGTAATCTAGCGGATACAATACCGAGTCTCGTTTTGCATCTCGTACGTTGACGCGAGACAAGAAAATCCTTCGAGGCCATATACCGCTAAACAATATCCCCTTTATATTGTTAGACTACATAAAACTGACATTTTTGTTCAAAGAGCTACAAAACATAAGTAGACACATTTTAGAAAACAAATCCTTATCTCATTTTAAAGAGTTATGATTAAACTGATATGCAATGATGAGAAAAATAAGGACCATGTATCTTCTAAGAAAAGTTACAAGCGTGACATTTGTTACTGTAAAATCACTTGAAAAACCAGCAATACTGAAATTGAAATTAAATTTTATCATCAAATACAACCTTTGCTTGCATTTATTCTAGTACCCAAAATGTCAAAAAATATCCACGATGAATTTTAAACAGAAAACAGCTGAAATTTAGACATCTATAGCCATACAAAAGCCAATAATCTGTCCACCATTACGCGACAATGCCAGATGGCTCCCGAGCTGGTTCTTTCATCATAGTCAGGCCTTTGAGCAGCACAGACACGAAACGATGCGCGATATTTTACAGAGAGACACGAAAAGCGAAATTCCTGCAAAACATGAAGCGAGGCACGATATTCTACCGTGAAAGATACTTCGACATAGCCAGATCTCGTGTTACAGTATCGTGTTTGATATTCCATAATTATGGTTTTACCAGGATTCGTTAAGGAACACAGTCATGCACGTTGTAAATGATTTTCCAATGGCGGATCGGAACGCAGCAATCCTCGGAAAATGGCGATATTTTATATATATTTATTTCTGATGAAAACAAAATACGTGTGGAAAGGTCTTTATATATTCTTCCTTAGATCATTAAGTGGCCGCTGTGGCCGAGTGCCACTGGCCCCTAACCGCTGTAGGTTCGGCACTCACCCGGGACTTAGAACTATTCATGCGAGAAAGCCCGTCCAGGGTCCAAATGCGGAATACCTAGTACGTGCGCACGTAATAGTTATCGCGTGCGCACACAATAGCTATCCCTTTATAACGTAATAGCTAACGCGTGCGCACATAATAGTATCGCGTGGCCACATAATAGCTATTGCGTGCGCAGGAAATAAATAAGAAAATTGTTATTTCCCCTTTATGCCACCGTAGATACTACCTTCTGGTTACATAGAATATGATAAAAGTTAAAGCATCAGAAAAAAACGTGTCACAACCAATAACGATATGAACGGACTCGCTGCAGATGTGTTTGGGATCTGGATATTCAATCTGGTAGAAAGTTTCATTGTGACACAAAGAATTGGAATATTTTTTATGTTAATATATGACTCCTATGCAGAGGCAGTAAGTTTTTTATTGACTGGAAGTGACCTAAAAACGGTATATTTATAAATACAGAAAATACAAAACAATGCCTGGTAGCCTGTATACGGATGGGCATAATGATTTTTAGATTTTTTTTAGAATATTTTAGAATGTTATGGAAGAATGTGAGACAAATGTGCTTCGAGTGTCCTTTCTATTGTGTTTCGAAAACATCTGTCTCATTTCAAATTTGTCGCAAATATGAATGTTTATGCGCACATCAGTCACACCTCGTGTGACAAATGTGCTCCGAGACAAATGTGCTTCTATATAGCTATACGTAGTGTAGCGATTCTCAACAATAGTGTCCTGCCAACTAATATAAATTAAATGCGTTAATCCTGAATATTTACTGTAATTCACATCTTCAAATATCGCTACGTTAATGTCTTCATAATAAACTTGATTTGTGACTTTTGTATGTAACTTTCGAAAATTTTCCTTCTGTGGCGTCGTTAAAAATGGCGAAGTAAACGTAACGTGAGAGCTTTAGCGCTAAAAGGTATTTTGTTTTAACTACTTATATTTGAATATTGTTAATAATTCTTACATTGTCCTCCGTAAAATGACTCTAAAGCAAATTTTGTTTCCTCAAATATTATTTATCAAATATTCTTTGGAAAATTATCATTAGCAGAAAAAGAAAAAAGGAAAAATAATTTCTAAACATTATTTACAAACATATATACAAATAAAGAATACGTTTGTTGTTAATAATAATAATTATTTAAAAAACAACAACAACAAAAAAAAACCAACAACAACAAAAACAACCAATGCAAAGATATACGTAATTATTATGTGGAAAATGTATGACCTGAAACAAATATACATTTCATCAATAAGTTCCAATCTTAACTTTGAAATCATTATTATTTAAAACAGCTAACTAGTCATGGAAAGAACTTGTTTTCTGCATAAAGTACAATACATATTTATATATTATCAAATTCTAATTAGTGTTTTAAAATGTCTCAGGCACGCAAACAAAGCTTTTGTATATCAGTAATAGTATTTTGACAGAAACTATAAACGCAACTATAGTTTGACCTGTACCATCTAAAAGACATTATTTTTTATTGGTCTGAGGACATTTAAATTTCTAACACGAACTAGACGTTTACGTACAAGCCTATCCCTACCCTTAAACAACTCAGTTTTTTGCAGAATTGCCAGTTCTCTCTTTGAATGGTATTGTCTTCTACAACTACAAGAACGACGTTCACTTTTATTGTGCCCCCACTTAAGGGGCATTTAGATTCACCTTTGTCCGTACGTCAGTCTGTCCATTCATCCATAAAATATATTTGTGACTTAAAAATGTAATTGATAATGCTGCAATCGAAGCTTGAAATAACAAAACAGGTCATTTAGCCATAAAAGTAAAAAAACAATATGCCTTTTAAAGAGCATATTACGAACGAGACAGGTACGAAACAACACAGGGAAATCTGTCATTATTTTATTAAATCTATATATATAATATAATCAAGGGATACAAGTCGTGGCCTCGCACTACCAGCACGGGTTCGTAAAATGCATTCACTAGTGTAAACTGTATAAAATATCCTCTATTCCATCAAAGTTATTGTAGAAATTAATATATGAACGAGTCATTACCCAAGTTCTACTACAAACACTTCATTAAAGCCTGTAACATTGCAGGAAATAGCTAATATTTCAATATTTACATTGGCTGTCAAGTTGTCGTCCATTTTGCAGGTGTGTTTATGTTCCGAGTATTTTCATTGGCTGATGAAAAAACCGCTATTCGTCGCCGTTATTATCCGGATTATTATTATTCATTAGCCAATGAAATTGACAGTTACTTACAGAAGTTGGATTTACGCATTTGAACACACGGGCAACATCAAAATGGAAGCCGAGGATAGAAATTATCAAAACAAACATAAATTGTTACAATAATTTGTACCAGAAGTTAATGATTGCATCATTGATGGTGGTGGATAATTAATATTTAACCGATTACATGATTTAACTTTCTTATACATGTATGAGCATACGTTTGCATAAGATGTCGTTTTACACGTGTAATTTTACAAACCGAAATTTTACGAACGTGTGCAAAAATGAAACATGAAAGGTTATTTTTAATAATATCTTGTCCATGTAACAAAGTGAGTCATTTTTTTTGAAATTATCAAGTTTTTCATCAATGTCCAACAATCAGAAGAAAACAAACTGTTGTATACTGCGTTGTATTTACTTGTTCATGAATTGAGCAATTTTGAGTTGTATCCCTTGTTATATAATATATATAGTGGGAAAGGAAAAAAATGACAGAATCCCCTGTGCGAAACAATGTGAAGGAAACCTTCGTATGAGTACGAACCTTGAGTGTGCATTTTAAGACGCCGTCTGCATGCTGCGTCTAGTAGATATGCATTAGTCTATTCAGCAATTTGAAAAACATCTAGTCTTTCTTTTGTGTATTGAAATTACACTGTTTTAATTTTTTTCAAATAAAAATTGGTTTACAACATGTGACCGAGCTTTAAGGAATTAAAATAAACATTAAACAGTTGTTGTTGTAATGGCGCCATGTTTGAATATCATATTCTTTTTTTATAATTATCTTATTTTAAACTACCTAGGTTTTAAGAATATTAATAAGTCTTACAGTCATATTCAAGTTATTCAAGATATCGTTTTTGACATTGTGTTTTTTTGGTTCAAATATAAATCAAATTTGCAAATGAATAACAAAGTAATGACAATTTAGGAAAATTTCTATAATTTGATCTTCACGGCAGCATCTTTGGATTTGTTATGTTTGTAATAAATTACTAGTCTTTATAAGGATTTGTTTGCACAATTATTATAAACTTGTTTGGACATATAATTCACAATATGCAGCAAAAAAGGATACTTGTTTTTCTTTTCACATTATGATTTTTTCCTAGAACAGAAGTAGCATTTCACGTATGGACATCCTGCGTACGGCAACAAGGGGTACCCGAAATAACACATTTTATGATTTAGACAATTTAATCGAATCTAAAGGATAAATCAACAAAGAAGCTAGCATTTTGATAATATACCGATGCAAAGATGAATATTAGTAGTTCATTTGAACTTTTACATTTTGATTAGAATTTGAAGGAAGGACCCTGATACAAGCGATCCTAACATATTAATCTACGTATACGAGTATAAGAGCGATTTCAGTGTGTTTGAAATGCGTAACTGGATATAGGCCACCTATCTTCCTATAAAAAATACCCAGATATGGTGTACAAACGTAGGTTGACGTCATAATTTAAGTATTAAACTCCTGAGTTTGTGAATGCGGTTTCTATGCGGCATTGTCATACTCATAGACCTATATGATGACAAGTTATGTAAGCAGCCAAACACTCGTTTGATTGGCATAACTTTAAGCGATAAGATTTAGTACTCAAATCGTGAAATACGATCCTATTACCAGATATAATCAACATATAAGGGACTTTATTTAAACCAATATAAGATTGATTCAAATTAATATACATATTAGCTCTCTTTTGAAAGTATCACCAAACGACCTTTTTCTAGTATCAGTAAAGCAGCAGTGTGTTATAGATCGTAAAGTACATACTATTTCATAATTGTTACTGTACACTCCCTTTGATTAGGTGATTGTCAAGGTGGTAAGTGTCAACAGATGAACCGTAATCGGTTGTCAACAATATTATTCAAAAGGGGCGTTTTTTTACCATGACGTTGTTAACGTATATTATAATTATCGAAAATTGTATTAGCTTTTACTAAATTTATATGAAGGTACAAAAAAAGCACAAAAAAAGCACACAATAACTAAAGATTTAAAATGTGTTTATGTCCGGGTTACTGATGCGTGTGAGAAAACGAGGTGATCCTTTAAATGTCCGTCAACTATTAAAAAGCTTATGAAATTAACCAAACCTAGGCATCACAATCAAATCAGACATATAATTTAAGCAAGTTAACTGGAAACTAAACAAATGTTCATGTACATGCTTTATCACATTTTTTGATCTTTTCAGAATGATTATATATTACATGTAATTGATACTGATATTTTTAATTCTTAATATATATCCAAATATATACTGGGATATTTCAAAGGCATGACGTTTTTCAACAGGTTTTTGAATGTATTAAAAATTACTTATTAAAGAAATTGTCTCCTAAAACTGTCGATATTACGGAGAACCAGTTTCGATTTAAAAAATACAGTACTGTAGATGCTATTTTGAATTATGTCGACACTCGGCATTCTTCGTAGCACTTATCGACAAGCAGGATCTTTAATAAGCTTTATGCTGTAAACTTCAGATTAACGAATGAGTGTCCTTACATATTATGTTATTTCTATTAATTTCAGTAATTCGTTGTTTGTTGTCTGAATGATTCTTAGAAAAGAATTTCTTTGTTAATATATGCATAAAAATATGCATATGTAATTTGACATGTTATTTCATTATATTTTACATTTTGATATATTTCAGTTGCTGTTGCAAAAGTAGCACTTTCTGGACCAAGTTTAAGTTTCATGAAGGAGCATTCCCGACAAACAATCAAGTGTAAGACATCACCTGGTCGACCACAACCAAGAGTAAGTTGGTATCTCTATGAAACTAATGAAAGCGTAAAACATAAGATAACTGTAAATTCGTCACAGATACTCAATAATAGCGAAGATGGACTTGTAGCTGTCGAAAGTACCTTACAAATTTACCCAAATAGATCGATAAACAACTGGATGTTGAGTTGTGAAGCGTGGATAGACGACGAAACCAGAGCAGTTCATAGCAATAGATTGACTTTGAATATTGCTTGTAAGTCTTTTTTTTAAAGAATTGATAATCTATCCATCATTGATAAAGTCAAAATAAGGCTATTCTGTTTTAAGCAAAGCCTTAACAATTGCAAGCTTTTTTTAAGATAGTTGTGTCATTTGTTTTCTACATTACTAAATTAAAAGTTCCTGTATTCCGACATTTGCCGTTTTCATTAATAATGGATTTTGATAAAAAGATAGGGCTAACAACAGAAGTTCATAAGGATTAGCATAGATTGAAGTATATTTATCCAATATTCTGATGAAATTATAGAAACTACCATCAATACATGTGAAGTCGGGAATAAAGCGTACATAACGGGAAACTAGTATATTATTCCATTCTCGATATTCATCGATCCTCATTCTGTGATTTCTGAACTTCTTATCAAGAATGTGCTAATATTTAGCAATCAAGAAGACCAAAACATATTTCCTTTTTGTATTGTTACAGACAAATTGTATTTACTTAATTTCTAAAAGATTGTTGAATCAGCACTTTCAAATTTTGCCAACCGAAAACAATCTGTATACTTATTCGAAGCATTTTTTAAAGAAATAAATAACCATTTCCTGTCCAAACGATATTTATACTGTTAGCAGAGTATAAAGTGCAAAACACTGGCATTATGAATATGTTTTAGCATGGCATAAATGTTATTTGTTTTCTTGATTTTGCTGTCTAACTACTAACCTTTTCACTTTGTAGGAAAGGTTTCGTTTGAAAAAGATAATTAAACTGGTTATGAAAATATTAAAACATCTCTATCTTTATATAAAATGAACCGATCTTATTTCATTTAAATAGTTTGTGCTGTCAAGTTAAAACAGCGATACATCTCAAAGAACTTAAGGAATGTATTAAAAATGTCTATAATAAGAAATTATACCGTATGTACAGAAGTAAAATATTTGTTACGTGGGGTTACAAGACATCAATGACATTTTTATAACTCTCGTCAATTTTAAATATTTGATATTTTATTGAAAATATTTTATCAAATATTTCAAGATCCCCCGGAGAAACCTGTAATAATGGGATTCACAGACGGTGAAAAATATTCACTTATAGAATCTGAGATTGGCAAACTGTCTTGTTCGTCACATGGCGGAAATCCACTAGCTAATTTGACATGGAATTGCAACAGTAAACCAACATCTATTACCATTGAAGACAAAACAGTTTCCAGCACTGTTACATGGTCTGGGGTTCGTGGTCAGTCATCCTGTCTTTGTATTTCACATCATTCGTGGTCTGGAACTATGCAAACTACAACTGTAATGATTGATGTTCTTTGTAAGTTTTATATTTCATATTATATCAGATAAATAACAAAGTGTATGGTTTTGTTTTAAATTAAGACGTTCGTCAGTAACAAAACGTTTAAAATCCTGAAGATAATTACGTATACTGCTTTAAAGTGATAATATTGTTTGTATTTTTTTATTTTTCCATGATTGCTATGTAATATATTGATAAATACTATCAATAATCGATATAAAGTATTTTGACATACATGTTTTAAGACCCTCCAAACAAACCAGCAATGACCATCAGCAATAAAACCGTCTCAAACGTTATTAACGTTATTTTGAGCAAAAACTTGCAAGTAAAATGCGAAAGTAAAAGCAACCCACGCTTCAAACTACTACACATGGACAGGCCCAGCTGAATTTGACAAAACGAAAACAATACTGCTGTACATTAAACAACACGATAGACAAGAAAGTTATATGCATGCAACAAACGGAATGATAGACAAAAATGGTACCATGGGAGACAATAAGAATCGTCTTACGATAAATGTGTGTATATCACTGTTTAACCCTAACATTTCTTGGCATTTTTGAGATGACGGTAATAAATTCAACTTTAATTAAAGCATCAAACTTCATACAAAACTAAAATAAAATTATTCTCAAATAAATGTCATTTGATTAGAGCAACTTTTTACTTTATGCCCAAAAATCCCAAATTGGGGCCCAAAACCCCCAAAAAAGTTTTAAAACCGAAAAGGAAAAAAATTACCCCCTTATTTCAAATTTTAAATAACACAGCAGGAAAACAAATGAAATAAAATTTTATTTTTTTAAGTTTTAAAAATTATCTTAATATTGTATCAAGAAAAAAGGTAAATCTCAAAATTTTTTTAACGTTTTAAAGGGAAACCCCGGGGTTTCATCATTTTTAAAAGGGAAACCATTCCTATTTCCCGGGGAAGTTTTAACCCAAACGGTATTTTAAAGATAACTTTAAATTATGCAAATAAAAAAGGGAATTGAAAAAGGAACAATAAGGAAAAAAAGGGGGGAAGGAAAGGTTTGAACATCTGCTATTTTTTAGGGGGGTTTTTTCTAGGGGGGTGTAAAAAATTATAAACTGTTGCTTAAACTTGATTTAAAGAACTAACCCAACATTGGGTGAAAAATCGTTTTAACAATGTTTTTTTTAGTATTTTTCAATAGAAAATTCAATTTTTTTTCAACTAATCCCCCCCCCAATTAAAGGGTTTTTTTTAAGGTCCCCCAATTTTTTTTAAAAATTTTCCCGGCTGCTTTAAAAAAACATTTTGAAAAACTTAAAATTTAAACCAAAAAGAATAAAAGTTTTCATTTAAAAATTTTTTAGGTGGGGTTAAATTTTTTAAAATATACTTTATAAAAACATCAATTTTAAAGACCAGAAAAAAGATTTTTATTTTGTTTTTTTCCCTAAAAGGCCAAAAAGAGAAAAAGGTTTTTAAAAGAGTTAATTTTTTCCCCAAATTCACAAAAAAAAAATTTTTTTAAAAATCCTTATTACATTAAAAAATGGCATAAAAACAATTTTTCCTACGGGGAAAAGATTTCAAAGGATTGGGTTTTTAAATAAAAGGGAAGGCAAAAAATTTTTAAGAGAAACAAGACAAAAATCTAAATTTGTTTTTCTAAAAAACCTTCTCCCAAATAACCGGGATACCAATGCCCAAAGGGCCCTAATCCCTTTAAATTTAAGTAAAAAGGATGGGGGAAACCCCGGGGCTGTTTCAGTAATTGAAAGGGAAAAGGCCACTTTTGGTGCCCCCTAAAAGGGGGGTTTAAATTTCCAAACTTTTTCTCGAAAAATTTCAGGGGCTTTTAAGCCCAAAAATTAAATTTATTTAAATTTTTTCTTTTTGGAAGGGGATTATTTGTTTCCCAAATAAAAAGGGGTTAAATCATTTTGTTAAAACCCAAATACAATTTTTGTCAAACCTGCGGGGGTCTATTTTTTCTCATTTTTTTTTAAATTTTTTTCTTTCCCCAAACAGGTTAAACCCCCAAAAAAACCTTTTAAAATCACTAAAAAGCCCAAAATTTATTTTATGGAAAAATAGTTAAATTAAAATTGTCGGTTTTGAAGGGAAACCCAAGGGGCCGGGAGGGGAAGGGGTTGTCCTTTGGGGTGGAATTTAAGGGTGTTGCAAAAGGGGGGGAAGAAATTTCAGGGGGGTTTAGCAAGGTTTCTGGGGCAGATGATACAAAGATTGACTTTTAACAAAGGTAAATTTTCCCAAACCTTTGGTTTTGGGGGAAACCCGGACTAAGGGGCAAAAACTTTCCAATTTTAAGGGGGTTTTTTTGAAGGGGGGGTTTTTTTGGGGGCCTTTGGGGGTTCCTCTAACCAACCTTAAGGGTTATTAAAAGGGTTCTTTTTGGGAAAGGGGAAAACCCCAAGTTTTGGGGGGCAAGGGTCCAATTTAAAATAATTGGGCCCAATAAAACTTTTAACCAAGTTCTTATTTTTTAAACCCCAAAAAGTGGGGGGTTTTTACAACACTGGGGAAACCAATTAAAAATTGGGGGACACCCCGAAGTGATAAAACCGGACGGAGAGGGGGATTAAAATCCACTTTTAAAACCCGGGGTAAAACCCTTTAAGAAAACGAATTTCCCATTCCCATCGAAAAAGGTTTAAATTTATTTTCGGGATTTAATTTTGGGGATCCAAAACCCCTTTCCCGGGATATGGGTTTAAAACAAAAAGGGGGGCCGCATAGCGAAGGAGAAATAAAATAGGAACCGGAAAATTGTGTTTGGGGTTTTAAAAAAGGGGTTAGGGGGGGGCATTGGGGAATTTAAAGGGACATTTTACCCAAGGTAAAAAAATTAAAAGTAAAACCAGGACACATAAGGGGGGAAATCCGTGGGGCCAAAACCAAAAAACAGGGGTTTTAACAACGGGCCCCGGGGGTATGGGCACCCCATCTTTGGGGGAAGTTTGGGGGGGGAAAAAGGGGAATCAAGTTAAATTCGGGGAAACTGTTTTTCATTTTTAAAGGGGGGAAATAGTCCCCTTCCCTTTTGCCCGGGGGGAACCCGGGGTGGGGGGGGTTTCTAAAATTGGACTTTATCCTATGAAGTTTTGAAACTTTTCAGTTAATGGTTAAATTTTTTTCCCCCCGGAAACCGGTTTTTAAAATTTTTTAAAAGGAAAAAAGGACCTTCGGAGGGCTTAGGAACCCCTGGGTTTTCCCCCCAAATTTCGGGGGGGAAGTTTAAATTTCGGGGCCTACAATCAGTACCGGAAAAAAATTTGGGAGTCGGACCCCCTTACCAGGTAAAATTATGGGGTTTTCTTTTGTTTTTGGTTTTGTTTCCTTTTTTAACCCAAAATGGGAAAAAAACCCCACGGGAAACGGAATTGAAAAATAAAGCTTTCTTTTTATAGAAAAAAGGGGGAACCAACCCCAAAATTACTCCGGTTTTGAGGAAAACCCAACACCAACGGAAAGGAGCCCGGGGAAACATTTATCTTTGGGATTAAAAATTAGTTTTTTAAAGAAAAAACCTACTTTTTTAAGGGGTGAAGCAAAGGATTTTCCGTTTTACAACTTTTTCTACCTTTGGTTTTGAGTTTGTAAATTAAATTTAAACGAAAATGTATAAAACCCTATTTATGGGGGCAAAAACCCAAAAAAAATTTTTTAATTTTTAAATTTTATTAAAAATTATTTTTTCCTTTTCTTCAGGAAAATCAAACTTTTTACTGTTTTAAAAAAACAAATCAGGGGAAAATTTTTTGGGGGAAAAACCAAAACAGATGAATTTACATTAGAAGTAAGCAAAAACTAACCCAGCCCGGGGGATTTTATTATATACAATACAATGGTAAAAATATCGCAGAAAAAAAAACAAAAAATTTCCTCCCGGGGAAAAAGCGAAAAAAATTTGTCCCAAAAACGCAAAAATAAAAAGGGTGAAGGAAAAAACTACCCCAAAAGAAAGCCAAACCAAAATCAGAATGACTGATTTCAAATGAAAGTTTAAGGGGTTTTTGGCATTTTTACTTTCTTTCTTTTAAAGTTTTTTTGGGTAAATTTACCTTTGGGTTTAAAACATAAAAAAAATATTGTTTCTTTAAAAGCTTGGTAAAACAAATGAGCGGGATATATTATTTTGGGTTTTGTTTTGGAAAATTCACGTTACCGCCTCAAAAGATTTTAAAACCCTTTAAAAACTTCCTTTGTTTGTATACCGCAAGTAAAAAGATTGAAAATGTATGGTTTATAAAATTAAACTTTCCCCTTTTCCCAAAACTTTCGTTCAAAAAATCATCTGTAAATTACGTTCTTTTAAAAAAATCACTCTAAAATTTTATTTTTATGTACTTAAAAGCGTTTGCCTTTTAAAATAAACAAAAATTTTTTGATCTTTTTTTGAAATTGTTTAAAAATTAAAATCAGCTTGTATTGAGCGTTTTAAAGGGAGACAGAAGAAAGACATATCTTTTTCTGCTTGCTGTAAAGTCAGTTTGTTTATTTTGTGAAGATATTCATGTTTTATCTAATACTAGATCACTCTATAGAAGAATGTACAAGTTTTTTTTATTAAACATTATTATATTTCGCGCTTATTATATTATTAAATAATGAAATTTATTTATTTTTAAAACGAACATTCACTTCATTTTTCTTCTTTAACGCTATGATTTATTTCAACTATCAAATAATCAAATCATGATAAAAAAAATTTAATGGGAAACAAAACATAAATGTCGCTTTTAAACTTTTAATTTCCATCCCGCTTTGTAATTTTCCCCCTTTTTAAACAACATTTTAAGGGCTTATATGCACGCCATAAAAAAAGGGATTACCAAAAATTAATATGACTTCAACTGTGATGTAAAATTAAAGAACGCAGCATGAATATTACTTCTCCCGCAAAATGGGTTTCATTAGTTTTTTCATTGTTTCTATCTCTTCCGCAGTTTAAAATGAACATAAAATATTATTTTGTTTAAAATTCCAGCACAACAAATAAAATTTTTTGAAATTTTTAAAAATTCAACCCTCCCGACAACTTTCCCCGATTTCCACTAAAATATCCTTAAATTTTTAAACACTTTCGCAGTTTAACCAAAAAAAGAACGTAAATTTTTCCAAACTATATTTCCAAATTTTAAAACAAAAACCTTTTTGGAGGGTTTTCAAGGGGTTCCAAAAAAAGTTTTTTTCAAAATTTGTTGATTTGAATGTCTAAAACAAATCTTTTTTTAATATCCGTTTAGCTGTCATAAAACTTACTTTGATTTTGCGTTTAATGTAATGTTTGGGTAGGTTTTTTATGTTCCTCTAAAGAGGAGGATACATTTCCCCCGGGTTTGAATGTTTTTTTGGGTCTTAAAAGGCCAAAAAATTTAAAATAGAAAAGG